CAGGCATAGCCTCAAGTTGCAGGTGTGTAGTTGTGCAATAGAATTGTGGCCAGTGGTACTGACTGCCTTGGAAGGTAGTGTATTCTTCTTCATTTGAAGCTTCTAGGTGGAGGTTGGATGGCTACCTATTAGGTTTGCTTTCGCAATAGATTTCCTACATCTGCAGGGAGCTGGGCTTGGTCACCTTTGGGGTCCCTTCCAGAATCTGGTTCTACGATTCTGTCATGAATATCTGTGTTTTGGAATATTTTCTCCATGTTAGATTCTACTTTAAAAAACAAGAAGGAATTTACAGCATTATACATTTATTTCCTGCCATCTGCTGGCGTACTTAGGGTTACCTGATTTAATTACTGCCTTTCGAAATATGACACATTTTCCATGGTATTTCTTTTTGCACTTTTATATGTACCCATCCTAGAAATATTAACGATGGTGTACACATGTGCCTTTGAGCCTAATGCAATATTGAAAAAGCAGAAATAGTATTATAATTTTATAACAGCCTATCTTCAGTGCCTCTCCTTTTTAATATTATAGTAAATAATGGCTATTGGATTCCTAAGTTTCTCAGAAAGTTATATTAATGATTACATGAAGTCCAAATCTTCCCAAGACCTATATTGTATTAATAACGTTTCAGAAAACTGTTTCTCATATAAAAGTGTAATCTCCTGCATATTTTAACTAAGATTGCTGTAAAGCAAATCTTCATTCTTAGGTTTTAAGCTGCAATAGACTATACTTGGATTGAAACAATCAACAATAAGAAGAGACATTTGAGATGAAAGAATAAAGAAATAAGTAACTGAATGTTAATCACTGCTGTTAAGAAAGAATTGCTTCCCAAAAGAAACAGAATGAGGAGAAAAAGTAAAATTATATAATCAAACCCCCAAATCAATCCTTCTTTTGGAAGTACCTGGCCTTTGGCATATTCGCTCTACATTATTCTAGTTTTCATGGATGGAATACTTAGTTATGATCAGTTTGGGGCCAAATCCAGCTAAGGCGATATTCAGTCAAATCATATTGTTTCAACTGGAAAATTAGAGGGAGAGCCATGACAGGGTTAGCATTAAGGTTTGCAGTTGTGACAGGAGTAGCCCTAGGACACTACACACTGTCCAGTTAATTATGAAAGGGACTGGAAACATTTGGTCTTTCAGATGTTTTGGCCAATGGCTCATCACCTTCTAGGCACTGTGATGAATGGTAAGTTATAAACCAAGACATCTACAAGGCCAAACATTCCCAGCTCTGATAAATGGGTCAGTTCTGCCATACTAAAGATATCTGAAGAACACATCCACACATCGGAAAACATCTTAAATTACGCAACACTTTAACTGCACAGATGTAGTTGAGCCTCTCTTTTGCACTTATAAATGTCCAATCCAAAATGCAATCAGCGCATGAAAGCAGTCTCAAAGAAGAAGTTACTCTACTACTCCAAAAGAAGGAGGAATGAACTAACTAAAAGAGACAGAATACAAGAGTCAGACACTGAACTATGGGATCCTTTGGTTCTATTGTAAAATGTGGTAAAAGCTCCTGTTTACTGGCATACTTTCTGAGCACCTAGATGTGTATTTGTGTTTTTGGATTACACTCCCAGAATTGCTCACAAAGCATGGTCAGTTGGAATACACATGTAAAAGATAGCTTATATATCACACTTTTATTTCAAAGTGACCAGCCTCTGAGATTACTAGAGGGACTGTTCTGATTTGCAACAAAATAAAACTGAGCCTTCTCATTTGTGAAGTGCATAAAGCATCTGATTAAAATTCCATATTTAAAAATGAAAATTCAGATTTCTCCCATCTGCAAAAAAAAGTTCAAAACATAAAATACTGCACAGAAAAACTGTAGTATGAGAATTATTAGCAAAGTAGTTCACTAAATGAAATGTTGAATGTTTACCTAGAGTGATAGAACCATAAACCTGTTAAGCTGGAAGGGACCACACAAGGTTCCATCTCCCTGCTGAAGCAGAAAATCTACAACTAAAGCATCCCTGACAGGGAGCAATCCAACTTATGTTTAAAAATCACCCATGAAGGAAAGTCCACCACCTTCCCAAAGCAGTTCATTCTCCTGTTGAGCTCCACCTAACAGAAGTTCCACCTACTGTCCACCTAACAGAAGTTCCTCCTAACATTTACTCTATATCTACCTTCTTGTAACTTGAATTTTAGTCCTATCATCTGGAAAAAAGCATGCTCCCTCTCTCATATGACAGCTATTCAAATATTTTAAAACAGTTATATATTACCTGTCAGTCTTCACTTCTGCAAGATAAACATACCCAACTCCCACAAACTTTCACCATGGAGTAGCTTCCATATATAATTTCCGTTGTCCTCCTCTGGACATGTTCCAGATTTAAATCAAATGCCTCCCATCCACAGACTGACAACACAGCTCTAAACATCTCAGTTTCACTATACAATAGGAACATAGAGATTGTTAAGCACGTTTGAAAATGGTGGGCCAGATAGGCGGGGTATAAATTAAATAAATAATAATTAGTAACTATACTACGACAATAACTACCTAACAATGTGTATGCTTTTAATTTAGTGGGGAAACATTTGGCCCAGCAAACATTTCCACAAGTGATGCATGCTAACCTTATTACAGCCAATATTACAAAAACTTGTTTAATTCTTTCCCCTGCTGTTTTTTTTTCATTTCATACATAAGCTATAACAATGTTTATTTACATAATAATCTAATGAGACATACAGTACTTGTAAATCACCTGAAAAATGGATAAGATCCAATGTAACATATTCTGATTTAGGAACTGAGACACATACACAAATATATATATTCAAGGTCAAGGATACGTACAACTGTGAGGAGATTGATGAATTGGAGCACGAAACATTGGTGGACAACATTTGAGTAGAAATCACCTGGAGAAACCTGGGTAGCTACATAAGCAGCTTTCAGATGAGCCAGGATTTAGGACGGTCATGTGAAAGAAATGGAAGGAGAGACAAATCACCATGGAAGATTACAAACAAGTAGCCAATAATGTTAAAAAGGAGGTTAGGAAGACTGAACTCAAAATGAGCTCAAGTTTGCAAGATAAATTAAAAATAACAAAAAGGGTTTTTAAGCTATGCTTAATGCAAGAGCCCAGAAAATGTAGGTCTGCTACATGGAGAAAACAGAAATATAAGTGAATGCAGAACTGTTAAACACCTATTTTGTCCATGTCTTCTCACAAATGCAAAACAGAGTCAACCTAGTGCAGGTAGAATAAAGTAGGAAGGAAGTAGGCTGCTGCCCAAGAAAGGCAAAGAGGTGCTAAGAGAACATGTAGCTGCTTTAAACGAGTTCAAGCCCCCTGTGCCAGACAATCTGAATGCCATGGTATTAAAGGAACTTGCAGATGTATTTTCAGAGTCTGTCTTTAATTCTTATGAATTTTTGGAAAACAAGTGAGTCCCTGCCAATTGGATGTGAACAAAACCAGGGTGGAAAATAAAATCCAGGCTCCTGTCAACCAGTTAGCTTAACATCAATACCAGAAACATAATCTAGATCATTAAACAGTCAGTCTGTGATCACTTAGATAATACAATGGCTGCAAAGACCCAGCATGAGTTTCTAAAAAATGAGTCATGCCAGATTAATATTGTCTTTTTTTAATGAGTCAGGTGCTTGGTAGATGAAGAGAATGCTGTGTATGTATCTTGATTTCAGAAAGACTTTTGAAAAGGTCACTCATGATATTCTAGCAGCCAAACTGATAAAAAGTGAGCTAGATGATGCTATTATTACGTGTCTTGACACCTAATAATACCCAAAGAGTGCTCACCAATGGTTCCTTGTCATTCTAGAGAGAAGTGACAAGTAGAGGTGCCATACGGGCTGGTCTACAAAACTGTTGTCTTCTTTATAAAGGAGAATTACAGAGAGTAATTGAATATGAACAGTGATCCTCCACCACGAGAGCCTAATCTACTCACACCAGCAATCCTGAAATCATTGCTGGCAACATTCACTTTATTAGCTATCATCAAAACTGCCAAACTTTCCTATACTAAGATACTGTAATCAAAAAGAATACAGGACATGTAAATTAATACACAGTTCATTTATTATAGGGACAATTGTGATAAACGGGAGGAGAGCATAGAAGCTCTCGTTGGAGTGCCATCCACCTGTAAAATATCTAAAGAGGTGCAGACCACTCCACCGCCAATCCCTCGAGAAAGAGTACACCAGGGAATAGACACCCGGGAGCTGGAAGCAAACCTACGGGGTCTGACCGTGGTGACGCAGATGGAAGGAGAATTGGCGGGAAGAGAAGAGTGGGGGAGGTCCATAGTAGAGCCAGGAATGGGAGTTATAAATAGGGAGCATGACAGTATACCAGGGGGTTGGGAACTCATCTGAGTCGAGGACCCGTGGACTGGGAAATGGGAAAGGATTAAAGTCCCACGGGAAGAAGCAGACTACCGTCGGAGAAAGGGGCTACCTCAGCAGCCGTCTTATTGGGAGAATCTGAGGCGAGAGAATGGAGGAGAAGGTTGAGGGAGGAAAGGGAAGCAGTGGCCCAGAAAGCAGAGGAACGCTGGGCATGGCATGCGGAGGAGGCACAGAGGATGGCATACCTCCAGGACCGTGGGGTCCCTTAGAGAGAGAGGGAGACCCGCTTTGGAGAGAGGAGGGAGATGAAGAAACACTACCGTTATTAAGAGGTGATGAAGAGAAGCCTGCCGTTCCCAGTTATGACCACCGCTTTGGAGAGAGGAGGGAGATGAAGAGACACTACCGTTATTAAGAGGTGACAAAGAGAAGCCTGCCGTTCCCAGTTATGACCCGTTTTTACCTGGACCATGGGAGGCTAAGACTCTGAATCCCTTTGACTCTGATCTTTGGTTGCCCTTACTGCGCCCATTAGCACCGCAAGAGATGTTACAAAAGGACACCTTAAAAGAAGTTTTATCGTTGACTAACGAAATAAACACCAGTTTGGATTTCAGTTTAAAAAAACTGTTTTATTTGAGAAACAGTCGGAGGCTAATATCAAACCCTCACAACCATGTCTATCCAATATGCATCAGATCAGTTAGCAAAAACTTTCAATTCCATATCTATTGACTGCAGTGTGGCACAGGAAGATATGTCCACACTTTCTATTTCTGTGTAATGGGAAAAGAGTTCTGGTCCATTAACTCTCCCACTCTTTCCTGCAGGAAATTAATCATCTCAGCTAACACGAAGACATGTGTTTCATCCAAGTCTTGTATGATGAATTTCTTCCCCAGGGCATTTGACTCATCCAAGTACAAGAGGAACTGCTTCATGGCTGGGTCACTGGGGAGACATGAAAAAAACTATGATCAAATCAGATGATACCTTGATGAATTAAATTTACAAACCTTTGGAATAATTTAACTGCAGAACTGTTCAGAAGGAGAGCTATTTCACTTGTGGTTAGTTATCTTTTAGTCATGAAAACTGACCAGCCTTTAGAATTACTGAGCAGTAAAAACTACCTGTAATTGTAAAGTTTATTATTTTTTAAAAAGCCAAATATAATTGTTAGCTCCAACTAGAGTAACTCAACTTAGTGAATAGGACTTTGTTAAATGAATACTTAAACCTCACTGATGTAATGGGACTTTTGGTTGGGATCAACAATTGATTTTAGCTTATAGTTACAAGTATATGGTCAACCCTCCCCACATATCCAAATACTATATAACTAAAATTAAGTAAAAAATTGCTAATGGAATAAGAAAAAATAGCCAAAATTAACCTATAAAAACAGGACTTCAGGTTAATTTTGGCATGTTTGTATCAAGTTTTAAAATCACACTCTGCCTTTTCCACCATTAAAACAAACCCAATGAACACTTGCAGTTCTCCCAAACACCACTGGGAGCAGTTTCCTTTGTTCTTGAAAGGCCAGTATAATGGCAACAAAGTGAGTGATACATGGAGATGAAAAACATCTCTTTAAACAACTTGGGGCTGCAGCTCCTAGGGTTCCGGCAAATTGTAGGAGTTGCAGTCCAAAAGGAACAAAACTCTCACTCCCACTGTGACATAGAATATCTGTCAACTGTATAAAGTGGAAGGTAGTTATATTTGATACTTCAGGTGAGTAAAGAGAATTTGCAAATGCAGTTTTAAAAATAATTAATTTAATTATCCATAAAAAGGAATTCCATTATTATTTTTATATACTATCAATATTTTGATAATGAGCTTCGTGTAGTAACGTTTTTTAAAAAAAATTGGAAGCTGGACAATTAAGTTTATTTTATTTATTTGTTTATTTGTTTATTTATTTATTTATTTTATTTATATGCCACCCACACTACCCAAAGGTCTCTGGGCGGCTTACAGCATCCAAAATACAACAAAGATATGCAACAATTAAAATACAATTAATATATATATAAAATTGCCATTGGACCCACAGCTAATATTATTTCAGTTAAAAGCCTTCTGGAACAGGAAGGTTTTGACCTGGTGCCGAAATGTCATCAGTGTCGGCACCAGACGAATCTCAGTCGGGAGGACATTCCATAGTCTGGGGGCAGCTGCCGAAAAGGCCTTGTCTACAAGCCGTCCCTCTTACCTCCTTGAGGGACGGCTCTTTCAAAAGGGCCCCCTGGCTAGATCTTAACTGCCGGGTAGGCTCATATGGAAGTTCTTGCATTAGATATTCATTGGCTAAAATCCAGTTGCAAAGTTACACCATTGAGATAACTTTTGGGAGCAAACTACAATGTCACAAATATTGGCAGACCTTATCTCTTCCAAAGGTTAAGCTATTTACATAACTACACAAGATTTTAGCCTTATAGGCTAAATAGAATAGGACGGCATTGCAATTAGGTTACTGCTTACCATTCTATAAGTACTCCTTTCAGAACATTCACCATCTTCTCAACAAAGTCAGGTACCTAAACAAAATAATAAAAACATCAAGAATAAAATGTCTATTTTTAAAGCCACAATTATAAACTGAATGAAAATGGTGACATATCAGAGTTTAACTTCCATATCTATGGAAGTACAACTTAATGAATGCAATGCAATTTATTTTGAAGTAGATATGCACAGAATCACAGTCAAAGATCAAGAACAAATTATTAGATCACAGCTACAGTACAACTCTGAATAAGACTCTGAATACATACCAGCATTTACATTACACAGCTTAGCCCTTAATATACAAGCATCAATTTAAAGGGAGAAAGTCTGTAAATTAGAGGTACAAACACATACCACACAAACGTAGCTGTAGTTTCTCTTAGCTGTTTCTATTTCATACCAGTGTTATTGTCCCTGCAGAGATGATCTCCCTCCAAGCATCTTTTTGCTTATTTCTAGCACAATCCCACGCCCACTGACCTTGACATAATGAACTCGAAAGACCCTACTTTTGAACAGACTCGTGTTGTACTGTATCCTACTGCACGTAGCATTACTGTAGTACCTTAAGAGGCAAATAAATGAAAGGCTAAACTCTTGGCATACTAAAAGTCACCATGACTTTCCGTTGCGTTTAAGTTCTTGAAGTGTTATGTGAAAACTAAGCAGAACAAACAAATTAATATTGTGGTAGGCTACACTCCCTCAGATTCACCAAAGCCTGAATTTTCGCGACAACAATCACCTCATCCGATAGACTGAATCCGAAACCACAGTTCACGTTTCTTTTAAGGCTGCGTTTGTTGAAACAAACCAATTCAGCAAGTCTGGCTTATAAATACATAACTGCATCTTTGCATACAAAACTGAACAACAATCATAAAAAAAGATACAGGACGAACATACCTTTTGAAAAGAAAAAGACCCCCGTCCCACAGTCCCTCCAAAGTGGGTAGAATAGTTTTCATGATTCAGAATTCACCACCGCCTTTGTCTTTCCCACCAAAATCAGGAGATAATACCAGCAAGAAGCGTCGGAAAGGAAACGATGCAGAATGAGTGAAAGGGGGGGAGGCGGGGGGGAAGAAAGAGAAGGACCAACGGCTACTTTGTCCGCGGGAAGGAATAGAAAACGGACAAACGCAAAACCACTTACGCTTCACTCGACGAGTGGCGTCGCCTTGACAACGAGAAAGCCCGGCAGCTTCTGCTCCGCAACCGGAAGCAGCGGGAGCAGAACAGCCGCACAACGGGAAGTGGCCTTCACAAGGGCGCATGCGCCGTTCTCAGTCTCTCGCTCGGATTGGGTGAAGCCCAATGGTTGCGCGTGCGTCGTGAGCTTTGGAGAACGTCACGCCGGAGTTTGTAGGCGGTCCGCAGAGGCGGCGGCGGCGTTGACAGGTGGGTCGGGGAAGGGAAGGGGCTACGGGAAGGGAGTGGGAGGCCCCGGGTGGGCCGAGGCGGCCGCTCTAGGCCGCTGTTCGTGTGTGGTGGTGGTGAAGTTGGGGCTCCGAAGGAAGCCGAAGGCAAGATCGGCTTCGGAAGGCAGATACGGGACTGTAGGCGGCTGGACGCTGTCTGTGCTAGACATCGTCACCCCTGTAATTGTATGTCAGAGGGGGGAGATTTCTTCGGCAGCATTATTTGGATCGAAATATCGCGAACGTAAAATTAAGGAACTGTAGTAAATAAGAATGTATTCGTCCGCGATATTTCGCTTTCAACCTGAATGAATTCATTCTTCTGAGTAATTCTTTCCTCTGAGTAAATGTTCGAAAGTGGTTTCCACTCCTACGGATTGGGGTGTGTGTTTTTTTTATTCATACTTGCTCAGCAGCAATTAGTCTGGTTTATAAAGTTGATTTACGAGGCACTTACAAAAACGAGGTACTACTTTCAGGAAATTCGTTCTTCTTGAAATCACAGATCATCCCACCTTTTGGGATGAGGCATCTTTTGCCCAGATCATGAGCTGTTCATTTGCCAAAAATGATTAACCCTCCCCCCTGCACACAGTTTTCAGGATGAGGGGGAGCCTTGTGTATGGGAAACCTGCATTTCTTTGTCTTCATTATCTTCTACTGTAATTTTTTCCCTATAGGGTCAGATTTGGAGGCCAATGGACACCATAACTCTCAACATTGATATCTAGTCCAAATATCTTCACAGCATTGATATTCTGCTACTACTTTGTCCTCTACTGAAATTTTTAAAAGTTTCTCTCATAAGTCTGTAGAACATGCAGAATGCCAAGATAAAGAATCTGATACTAGCAAACTTTCTTTATCGCTATCTGATGTACCGTCTGATTAATCTCAGGAATCAATGGCTACTTTAATATCTACTCCTGAATCAGATGTAGGTGATGCACATCCACCCTCTGCATCACAAAACATTAACTCATACATGGATCTTATACTTTGTCTGGCTAAGTCACATCATTGGAATATTCAGAGATCTCGCGCCCTCCTTCCAGATGAGTTCAGTTCTACAATCAGATTAACAAGGATGTGTTAGCACATCCCCATGTTGCTCTCACTCTTAGATCTAAGGAGTCCTGTACTAAGCTCTCTGCTTTGAAACTGATATCCAGAACATTACCCTCTACTTCTTTGTCCTACTATCACTCTCACACAAAAATCTCTGTTCACACGGTACAGAAACTGCTAGGGTTGATGGCATCTGTGATGGCTGTGGCGTCACACAGGAGAGTAAAGCTCAGATCTCTTTAGGCATATTTGATGTCTTTCAACCCACTGAGAGAGTCCACATCAAAGAAATTGACTGTTTCCCTAGAGCTCAGCCAGTAACTTCACTGGTGATCCTATGTCCAGAATATCTTGATGGGAAAACTATTCAAGATGCTGAGATCAAAGGTGCAACTAACCAGTGATGCCAGTCTCCTGGGGTGGGGTGCTCACTGCTGTGGTCAGACACAGAAAAAGAGGTGCACATGAAGAGACTGGAGCTTTTGGTAGTGTTCCAACCCCTTTTGATAAGCCAGTACAAGTGGTCACTAACAGCACAACGTTTATGTACTACATCAACAAATGTGGAAACTCACTCTCCCCTCCTGTTGCTTCTCACAGTTCACCTCCTGAAGTGATGCCTGGAGCACCATATTTTTTCTATCAATCCAAATGGTCAGGTAAGGCAAAAATATTGTGGGCTCTCAACAAGTTAACAGTTCAAGATCACATATGGGAATTGGTGGAAGATAACAGTTGCACTGTCAGTGCAGCAACCCTCAAATAGACCTTTTGCTATGGAAAACAACACAAAGGGTCAATATTATTCTTCCTGCACGGTAAAGGTGTCAACTCCTTGCAGGATGCCTTCATGATTTAGGACAGGGGTGTCCAACCTTTCACCTTCCCTGGGCCACATTAGAAGATGAAAAATTGGTTTGGGCCACACATACATTTGGTTTGGGCCACATGGGGGGGCAGCCCTAGCCTTCCTCCACAGCCCCGCTCCAAGCGCGCTTACCGGCAGCTGCGATCTTAGACAGCAGAGGCTGCCAGCTTCAACTCCGGCGGCTTTATGGAGCCAGGAGGGGGTCCGCCTATTGACGGGGACAGTGCAATGCAGTCACGCAGTCCCCCTGTCTCCTCCCCTCCTACACCTTCCTTCCTTCCCTCTCTCCTCCTCTACCATGATCAGATAAGGCAAAAATATTGTGGGCTCTCAACAGGTTAACGGTTCAAGATCACATATGGGAATTGGTGGAGGATAACAGTTGCACTGTCAGTGCAGCAACCCTCAAATAGACCTTTTGCTATGGAAAACAACACAAAGGGTCAATATTATTCTTCCTGCACGGTAAAGGTGTCAACTCCTTGCAGGATGCCTTCATGATTTAGGACATCTCTACCTTTTTTCACCATTGCCACTGATAAACAAAGTGTTTGTAAATTTAGGACATCTCTACCTTTTTTCACAATTGCCACTGATAAACAAAGTGTTTGTAAAGCTGTGTCAAGAAAAGTAAACATTATCCTTGTAACCTGAATGCCACATGCAGCCATGGTTTGCCATTCTAAAGGGATAGTGGTTTCCTTCAGGCATCTCTGCTACCGCCCTTGTCTGTTATCTCAGAAGGAAGGGACCATCCTTCAGCAGGATATACAAACCTTGAAACTAATAGCATGACACATTCACCACAAATAAGGAAGATTTTGCAGGTGTCTAAAAAACCATCAACTAGAAAGACTTGCAAGTGTAAATGGAGACTTTTCCCTCCCTTGTAGCATCTATAGGGGAAATGAATTTAAAATCCTCCTTACATATGATGTTTCAGTTTCTTTTGTACTTGAAAGAGTCAGCATTATGACTTTCAGCAATTAAGGTCTGTTTATCTGCTATAGTTTCTAAACAGCTCCCTGGTTCTATGGCATCTCAGCTATTTAAAAATCTTAATTTGAAGACATTTCTCCAATGGTTACAGAACACTTCCGGATGTCAAACGACTGCCACTGCAATAGTCTCTGTCCCTCATACTTAATTATCTATGATGGATGTTACAGAACTGTTTTTCTAGTAGCTATCACTTCAGCACTTTGGACAAGTGAAATCACTGTTCTGAGGCACAGTCCACTGTCCCTTCAATTATTTAAGGATAAGGCTATGGCATTCCCTGACCTTTCATTCCTCCCTGAAATAATCTCAAAGTTTCATCTCAATCCGTTACCCTTTCTGTTTTTTCCCCATTGCCTCAATCTAACCTGGTCCTTCAATTATTGATGGGGACAGTGCAATGCACTGTTCCTTCTCAATCCGTTACCCTTCCTATTTTTTCCCCATTGCCTCAATCTAACCTGGAGCAAATGTTGCATACTTTGTGTGTATGCAGAACCTTAACCTTCTACATCTCTAGGACTTGAAATATTAGAAAGACTGACCAGCTCTTTGTAATTTACCAGACTTCCAAATTGGGGACTCAGATTACTTCCCAGCACTTATTCAGAATGGGTCATCAGTACAATTAAGCTCTGCTGCTAATTGGCAAAGAGACCGCGACTGGATCATTTGAAAGGACACTTGACAACAGCTGTCTCCTTCTCTACAGCTTTTCTTAAGGGGATCTGGTTGGAAAATATATGTAGAACGGTAACATGGTCACAGATGTTGGCCTTTGCTGAGCATTACAAAATTGATGTCAGAAGTAAAATGGATGCTGTGCTTGGCATGGCGGCGATATCCTCCATTATGGTGTGATAACCCACCAGCCAGTGAGTTTGCTGTTCACCCATTTGCGTGATTCACAAATTCCATGAAGAAGAACTATAGTTATTTGAGTGATCATCCATGAATTCACACTACCCACACAACCTCCCCTTAGTCTGCCATGTCAGTTATCGAGCATGGGTAGACATGAGGAACTGAAGTATTTGGGTGCACTGCATGGGTGTGCGCTGTGGAAGGGATACTTACTAACTTTTGCTTCAGCTCTCAAAAGTTCCGAAGGCTATTGTGCAGGTGTGGAATAATGATTACTCCTCCTCTGCACACACTTTTCATGATGAGGGGGAATCCTGTATATTGTGCATGGGAAAACCTGCATTGGTTGGCATGTAATCAATGTGAAACGGTATATGCCCTATCTGTCTTGCGTGCAAAAGTCATGTGTCACTTGAGAATTTGCACAGGCACATAAACATTCAGGACCATTTATCCATCCATACCTCTCCAAACACTTAGATTACAAAATCGCAACAAATGTGTTTGAAAAAGTGGGGTCGAGTACATAAAAGCTTATCCCAGATGAAACTCTTAGTCTTTGAAGTGCCAAAGAACTCTAGATGTTTTTGCTGCAGCAGAGTAACCATAGCTACTTTCTTGAAACATGTGCCTCCTCATAGGGGATTCAGCAACATAGTAGGTGCTCTTAAAAACACTATAACATATAATAGTAAAAACAATCAGGCAGATAATGACATTAAATATGATTTAAAATACTTTAAAAACATTTTCCTGAATTCAGTAAATGTAGTGTGTCCCTATATGTCCAAGTCAGTGAAAACCCTGCCATAAAGGAAGATCTTTGCCTGCCAGCAGGACGATGGGTTGTGACAACTTGGCTTCCCAGGGAAGTGCATTCCACAGCCTAGAAGCAGTCATTGAAAAGGCCCTCTCTTGTTTTCTCGTGAAATGAACCTGGGAGTGGAGTCAAGAGAAGCCCCCCGCTCCCGAAGACCTTAAAAGCCAGGACAGCTGATATTGCTTGATATGGCCTCTCAGATAGCCTGTACTCGAGATGTATAATGCTTTATGACCAGCACTTTGAATTGGGCCTGTAAACAGACTCACAACCAGTTTAAGTGTTGTAGTAGGGACTTATAATGCTCTCCATAAACTGTGTCGGTTAGCAGTCAGTAGAAATGCGTTCCTTTGAGTATTAAGTAAATCTGGAGTATAAGAGTGAATTGTTTCTCCACTTTCAATGTAGAAAAGAGTTTCTTCAGTTATGAGAAGGTTGAAAACTCTTGTGTCTTTCTTCCCATTTGTTATTGAAAGGGAATGGCAAACTTTGTACACAGTGACATCTTTGATCTTCCCTTCGATGTACATTCCAAATACCTCCAGTTTGCAGAATCCCAGTTAATGGTCATAATCCAGAACAAAGTTCATAAGTTTCCTGAACAATGTTATGTTTTTCCTGCAGTATCTAGAGTACAGCCATTCCAGACAGCTGACAAGTGGACTAGTACATTTATTTATTTATTTATTTATTCATTCATTCATTCATTCATTCATCTTATATGCCGCCCACTCTACCCAAATGTCTCTGGGCGGCTCACAATTAAAATACAATAAAAGATAAAACTATTAAAACACAATTAAAATACATGTGAGAGAGTGGTTGTATGTAGACTGACCTGCTAAATTACTGTTTTGTACCTTTACAGAATGTCGCTCGTGGCTTATTGTGGTATTTGCTGTAGAAAGATAGGAACGTTTGGTTCAGCTCAGAAAACTGACCAGTCCTGGAAAGATTTCAGTAAGTTCAATTCTATGACAACTAGTCTAATGGAAGAATAGCATTTATTATTTTACCTGAAACTTACCAGCTGGAGTTTGGCTGCAACTCCCTTCTCAGCCTCTCCATGGGATGTCATGATGTTGAACAGGATCATGAGACAGTTGTCCTGATAATATTTGTTTGGGTGACTTTCTATCCCCATTATATAGGCCTGTACAGGAGACAGGGCCGTTGCTAGAATTTTTCCTGGGTTGGGGCACAAAACTGTATGGTAGTATGTTAACATAATGTGCATGCATAGTGCACACCACTTAAAAATGGGGTGTCTGCCTATGCACCTAAAATAATGAGTACATTTAGTGTCTCCTTGTTCTAAACACTCGTGTTAAAGAGTTCTTGCGTAAGATGGTAAATGATTGGAAATATAAACCAAGATTGACCTATTTTATTAATGTTTTCATCTCCTACTTTCTGAAGCAAGGAATGGCCATGGGAAAAATATTTGTGTATTCATGGGTATTTCTCCACCATATGCTGCAACAGGAGCAGATGAGATATCTTGACATTTCTTGATCCCACACTTCACTACTACATCATTGATCCTTACCACTTTTCATTTCTTATCAACCAAATAATGATCTCTTTATATGTCTGCCTCATTAATTCTGAGTCATTATGTATGAATTACTTACTGAATTAAACAATGGCCAAAATCCAGCTGGAGAAACCTTGCACATATGGGCAATATGTCAGCAATTTCCCCCCTTTTGCTGGTTCCTGCTCACCTTCCCAGTTTTGTGCCAATGTGATGTCACACAAAAAATGAGCTGGTTGGTGTGCATGATAACTCTTATGCAACCACCCTTATTTCTGTTGTAATATATTTCTACTAAAGTCTACCTTTGTGCATGTCTACTGACACTGAGTTTTTAATTTTTAAGGAAAAATTGCAAAGATAACAGGCTCACTTATTCTGGGGTAAGTTTTAACAGCACACTGATTTTGTTATTAGAGCTAACACCAAAATAGCACAATTGTATTTTTATATATAAATGGAGAATAATGCCTGTGATGTCAGTTGTATTAATTTTTGGCTGTCATTGTGACTGTTTGTAAACTCCCTTGAGTAAAATCCCATGAGTATCATTCTAGTATAAAAATATGTATAAAGCAGGGTTGGGTACCTTACACAGACATGTAAAAACAACAGAAATAAATTTATGACCAATTGAACCATGCAAACAAACTGCATTGGAAACACAAATAATTATCAAAGGTAAAGTTTAATTTTGGAGGGACATGGTGGCGCTGCGGGCTAAACCGCAGAAGCCCGTGCGGCAGGGTCAGAAGACCAAGCAGTCGTAAGATCGAATCCGCGCGATGGAGTGAGCGCCCATCGCTTGTCCCAGCTCCCGCCAACCTAGCGGTTCGAAAGCATGTAAAAATGCAAGTAGATAAATAAGGACCACCTTGGTGGGAAGGTAACAGCGTTCCGTGTCTAAGTCGCACTGGCCATGTGACTACAGAAGATTGTCTTCGGACAAACGCTGGCTCTATGGCTTGGAAACAGGGATGAGCACCGCCCCCTAGAGTCAAACATGACTGGACAAAAATTGTCAAGGGGAACCTTTACCTTTACCTTTAAAGTTTAATTTATTATTTGGAATTTAGGAAACTCAGAAGCAAAACAACTACCGTGTTTTTCCGTCTACATGACACTACTTTTTCCTAAAATCATTACCCTAAAAATTGAGGGGCATCTTTTACACGAAGTAAGCTGAGATAGGTGAGAAGAGAACAAAATGGCACATACCTTACCTCTGTAAACAGACTCCCTTCAGCCACAAGGCTGAGTTTCCTACAGAGTCAAACTTTGGAAAATCTTCATGGGTTTTTCCAGTTGCACAACTTGATACATGACCAGAAAAGTGACTAGCAACTTGTTTAGTTACAGTGATGCCTTGAGTTGCGAACTTAATCCGTTCTGGAATGATAGTTGTAACAAAGGTGGTTTGGAACTCAAAGCACCATTTCCTATAGGAATACAGTGGTGCCTCGCATAACGAGCGCACCGTATAACAAAGAATCCGCATAGCGATCCCTTCTCCGGGATTGCTAATGCGGAGGCATAGCGTCGGTCCCTATGGGAAAAACTCGCTTACCGAAGACGGGCCGACGGGTGCCAGGAAGGAGCCGCCGCCGCAAGAGTGATGCGGGGCCGCGCTGGCCGGGAAGGAAGGCAGGCGGCGAGGCAGGCAGGCGAAGGCAGGGAAGCCACGCACTCGCGCGTCCTCCCCCCCACTTTCCCTCTTCCTCCTCGTCCTTCTCCTGA